TCTGACTTCATACGGCGGTTTCCCAGGAGACATGGAGGACAAAAATGACGGCTGAGTTAACTCTCTGTGGCTACACGGGTCTGGGGGCCCCCGCGCGCAGCTTTATCATACTTCAAACACTTAGACACACACATACACTCGCCGGAATTGCCTGTTATGTCCTGAACAGGATGGTATGCATAAAATTGCTGTGGATATTAAAGCTAGAAAAATGTTTTTGCCACACTCGAGCACCTGGCCCCAAAATCTTTATGGGAACAATTCATTTAATCCCAGAAACTGACTTTCAAATGTAAAACCGTTTCGCCTGTGTTAAATTTCTCGGGCGGCTTGCTTCTGTGGGAATGATGCACATTCCCAGGAAGCACGCCGATGACTCCTGCCGCCCGCAGGCGTCGCTCATTTCAGTGGCGATCTCCTTGCCCTCAGCCTGCCTGGGAATGGGAACACTGGGGGCATGTGTGCGTGTGTGTGTATGCGTGTGTGTGTGTGTATGTGTGTCTGCATGTGTGAGTATGTGCATGTGTGTGTGTCTGTGTGTGTGTGTGCATGTGTATGTGCCTGTGTGTGTGTGTGTCTGCATGTGTGTGTATGTGCATGTGTGGTGTGTGTGTCTGTGTGTGTATGTGCATGTGCGTGTGTGTGTGTGCATGTGTATGTGCCTGTGTGTGTGTGTGTGTGTGTGTGTATGCGTGTGTGTCACTGTGTGTGTGTCTGCATGTGTGTGTATGTGTGGTGTGTGTGTGTGTATGTGCATGTGTGGTGTGTGTGTCTGTGTGTGTATGTGCGTGTGTGTGTGTGTGTGTCTGCATGTGTGTCTGCCTGGGGGGGCATCTATCTGCACCACAGTGACTTTTTTCCTGGAGCTGGTGCTTGGTGAGCCAGCAAGCCAGCCTGTTGAAATTGGGTGATAATTTATAGCCCCACACCCATTTTAAAAGTTACACCAATGCAGAAATGTGGAATAAAAACCGGTGCAGATGCCAGTTCCAGCAAACCCCACGGCATGTCGGAGGTGTAAACTCTGGTTCTAGATAACACAGCCATAACATAACAGGAATATCATATTAATTTCACCAAAATTTAAAGTCTCGCACATCTTTTCCTGCAAATCGACAGGCTTTACCATCACGTCACTGAAAGCATGTGAAAGCACAACGATGGATGGCCTCCACACGTAAAACTGGGCTGCAAACATTAGCAGAATCATGCTGCTAATCAACTGGTGGCAGTACGCCGAGTTATACAGTGCGATGTAGGTGCAGCATTCATTTATTTCGCCAAAGCAGTGCTCGCAGTAAGAGAGTCATTGGGACACGTCTAGGTCATTGCATCTATTGGTCCCTGCTCCCGGTCGCAGTGGTGACCATCCAGGTGGCAGGGCAGAGGGAACCGTGCTGAAGGGAGAGATATGCCACAGGCATGGGCGCACTACAACTGCTAGAACACTGACCCAGACACCTCCCCTCCACCCCAACCGCACACACAAACCCACAGACAGATGACAACGGTCACGCGGAGCGGGGAGACGAGACGCAAATGAGTTCATTTACTTCACTTTGTCCAGGAATGAGACAAAGAGATGGGGACAGATCAGAGCGTGAAAAACAGAGACCGATAAAGAGGAAAACAGAGAGAGGGAGGGTGAGATAAGGAGGCAGGAAAGAGGCGTAGAAAAGAGAGGCTTTCACTGGCAGAAATGCGATATTCACCCTTTGCAGAAGGTCAAGCAAGGAGCTCCAACATACAGGTAAAGCGAGAGGAAAAGAGTCACAGACAAAGATGCACATGGGAAAAGTGCTTTGCCTTTTTGGACAGAATTACACAGGAGTCCGGCGACTCAACAACATCTCAGCCAGATTAATTAGACATGTTCACAGTCACACAGATATCTAATAGAAACAATTAAAAACACACACACGCGAAACAGTGGGGTCTGGGTTCGGATCCTGCTGTTCTGCATTTATTTTCTGGCAGGTGTGAGGAGGCCACTCCGACAGGAAGGTGAGGCGGTTGGGTTTGCTACCCCATAGATGTTCTATAGCAACATGGGTCATCAAATGGGCTTCAGTGGCACCACAAACGGAGCGGAGCTGCTCTACAAGAGCGTCAGGTCATTCAGTGCAGGCCCAGAAAGAGGCAGGTGGCTTTACCCCCCAGGGTTACGTAAGCATGGGCCAGTTCAGCCTCGAGCAAAGAAGACTAAGGGGGGACATGATCCAGGTCTATAAGATTCTAACAGGTCTGGATGCTGTTCAGCCAAATGGCTACTTCAATATTAGTTTAAACACTAGAACTCGTGGCCATAAGTGGAACTTAGCAGGAGAACATTTTAAAATGAATTTGAGGAAGCACTTCTTTACACAGCGGGTAGTTAGAGTATGGAATAGTCTTCCTGCTAGTGCAGTGCAAGCTAAGACCCTGGGTTCCTTTAAATCAGAGCTAGATTAGATTTTAATATAGCTCTAAGCTATTAAGTTCTCCCCAAACGAGCTTGATGGGCCGAATGGCCTCCTCTCGTTTGTAAATTTCTTATGTTCTTATGTTCAATAAAGGGGTCTACCTGTCATTCCAGTTTGGGTTAAAATTGGGGGGAAAAGCTTTTAATAAATGCAGAGCAAATCGGTAAAGGTCATTTATACTTTTCAGTTTGTTTGTTTTCATCACACTTTACAAAATTTGACATTACATTGACGGATAATGTACCATAAAAATATTCAGGTGGCAGTGACTCCTATTTCTTCTTCTTTAATAGGTTTTCATGTCTGGCTTTCACCCTGAGGTAACAGAAGAGGAGCATGGAAGTGTGGCACCTAGAGAATGGTTCCATTTCGAAGGAAATGGCAAAAAATGAGCATAAATTGAGCTGCGGCTGGCGTTGAGGGAGTAGGGGCTGGGGGTGGTGGGCTCTCTTTCTAGGGTGGGGTCTGCATGGGTGCTGAAACACTTTTTTAAGAGATATTTAGGTTAAAAGCTTAAAAGCAAAAGGAAGGACATGAAACTCCCGCAGCATATAGTATTATCTCTGACTAATAAACAACTAATTAATATTTTCAATGGACACTCCAAGATGCAAATTCAGATCCAAATACCATCCATACTCTGTAGCTGATTGTCCTATTGAAGATCATGGGGGTCTAGAGCCTCTTTCTGAGGCTATGGGCACAAAGCAGGGAATAACCCAGGATGGGGTGCCAACCCATAACACTACATACTAACACTACAGGGAAATTTGGTAACTCCAATCAGATTCAGCATATACTTGGACTGTGGAGGGGGGGAACCCAGAGTGCCCAGAGGATGTGCCACAATGACACGGGGAGGACATGCAAACTCCACAAACATGGAAGCAAGGTGCAGCCTCAAACCCGGGTCCCCGAGGTGTGAGATGACAGCACTAACCACAGTGTCACCGTGCCCCCCTCCTTGGATTGCCACTTTATCGTGGTGGAGGGGTTTGCGTGCCTCAGTGACCCTGGGGGCTATGCTGTCGGAGGCAATAGCCCCTGGTAGGGTCTCCCAAGGCAAAAAGGTCCCAGGGGAGGGGCCAGACAAAGAGCAATCCTAAAGAACTCTTATGACAAAGAATTCTATCAAGGTCTCGTTTCCTTTGCCCGGACTAGGGTCACCGGGGCCCCACCCTGGAGCCAGGCCTGGGGGAGGGGCCCGTTGGCGAGCACCTGGTGGCCGGGCATAACCCGAAAGAGGCACGCGGGACTGTCCCCAGGTGGGCCCACCACCCACAAGGGGAATGTCAGGGGTTCGATGCTTTGTGGATCGGGTGGCGGCCAAGGGAGGCCCTGGCGGTCCGATCCTCGGCTAACAAAACTGGCTTTCGGGACATGGAATGTCACCTCTCTGGTGGGGAAGGAGCCTGAGCTTGTGCGCGAGATTGAGAGATATCGACTAGATATAGTCGGGCTCACCTCAACGCATAGCGTGGGTTCTGGAACCAATCTCCTGGAGAGGGGCTGGACGCTCTTTTCTTCTGGAGTTCATTCTGAACTCCTTAAGTTTAAATATAGGAGCTCAATGAACATCAGCTCCCCTACTGACATGCAAATCAGCAAACCAATAACCGGGTGACATCACCGCCACTGCGCCCGGACATGGGAGAGGCACAAACACGTAAGATCCAGACACCACCCGAGCGTGCGCCGTTTACCTTTCCATGACAGCACTCCAATGGGATGCCCTGCTGCATGGCCACAGTCAGGCAGAAGCCCCAGCACAGGCCGGTAATGTGTCCTTAACTGAAAGCCCCGGGAGTTAATGAAGAGAGAGCACTGAGAGAAACTTGAGTTGATCCAACCGCGGAGGCGGGTCTTTGGGAGACCTTGATAAGTTTCGATTTTTCAGAAAAGCGGCCCATCAGGTCTGGCCCATGTGGCGAAATCCCATTAATTTAGAGAAAGGTTCTCAGCGGGATTCTTTGGTTAAGCCTGGACCCAACAGATCTCTTCTGAAGAGATTATGCAGCAAACACCTTTCTGCCACAAAATATCCACACCCCAACGCACACACACACACGCACTGAAGCATACCCAGATATACACATGGTGATGCGATCCATTTAAAGGATCCCTCATTTGTTTAAGGACATAACTGTGTGGTGACCTTTGAAGTCAGATCCATTCCTTTTGAAATCAGTCATGTGCAGCAGCATGCAAAAAATAGTTATCTGGAGAGCAAGAAAATCATTCAGGCAGAATATCATTTTAGTGCGATCTTTGCCACACTGATTAAACTGTAATCAGCGCAAATGATGGGTTCAGCCAGGTGTTTTATAACATTGGTGGAGAAACTTAGTAATAAAATATAAACTATTTTCCAGACAGCTATCTTGATGTACGTAAGGAGGAGCTGGCCCGCCGGTTAGCTCTGAAATCCTGCTCAGCTTCTCAGAAATAGAGGACTCTCCCACCTAATGGTAAGGTTCTGAACTGAAGTGTGTAGGATGGGGTAGAGAGCACACCGAAGCAGAGATTAAGGAGCCTTACCCTGATGCCATCCTGCCAAGAATGCTCCTTCTGCAGCTGCTCCGCCTCCCTGGCCAGTCTCTGTGGAGGACACAAGGTGAAAGGGAGAGGTGAGTGGCTTTTCAGCAGTTTAATGACAGGCTTATTCAGAGCTCTCACTCCAGGGTGAGTCAAGTTCTCTGGATGTCACTGGCACAGGTCACCATCCACCAGCACATCAGACAGGGACAGTATGGCATGGGCACCATACAGTTCATATAGCTTCTACAGAGGGGCAAATTAGGGTGACTTTGGTCTCCAAAAACACTGCTAGACTCTAATGCCTGAGTACCTCCTTGCTGTAGTCATTTCCACCCTCATTCTCTCAAAACTCATTTCCATCCCCACTTCCATCAAATAAGACCCGGCATCTTGCACAGCGTGTAAATTAATTGTGAAACAGCTTAAATGTTTAACTTTAACATATATGGTACCAACTTGAATTGCTTTTTGAAGGAATTCCCAAAATTCCACTAATTATACTGCTCTATATTATATCTAAAGTGCTTCTTAAGGTGTAAGGGTCAAACTCTCAAAGTCTTCATATTTCATATTCAAATTAATAATGACTGAATTATAGAATGACATTCATACACTATATTTTATACAACAATTGTGAATCTTTCTAAGAGTCCACTAAGTGTAAATGTCAAACGGCAAATGTTATATATCTAGTCAAAAGACTATACCTGTACTGAAAGAATAATACTTAATTTCTCCACTGCAAAAAAAACCATAACCATTTTCAAAGGAGTGATCGAAAAAGACTCCCCCTCCTGTCTTCGAAGTTCCTATACAATGGTAACATTTTCTATACTATGGAAACACAAGAGGCTGATGGACTAATTAGCACCCCCCGCCTTGAACACTAAGCAGTTGCAAGCTCAAGAACCTCTTTGGAGCTTGGCACCATGGACAGTTAACACATTTGTACATTACTTTGCACCCATTGATTTTGTGTCTGGGGGCAAGAACAGGGCAATTCAATCGTTCCAGTAGAATGGAATGTGATTTATTGCTACAGCCATTGGCTGAGATTGTGGAAGGTCAAGTACCCCCAAAGAGCATTGTTTTATCTGCCCATAATGTGTAGTTGTTACTTCGCAGCTTGCATCATTTTCTATTTAATCCTAGCTCTTCAAATTCTACACATCTATATGCACTTTGGTACAACTTCACTGGCCATCTGACATCAAAGTCTTGTTTGATGTATTGTGTGCGCTCTGGCATTGCCTTTGGTGTGGGGTAGTCTTTTCAGCCAAATGACCACTGTATATGGCATGACCACATGCAGTAATTAGGCGTTCAGCAAGAAGCTGCGCAGCCTGTTACTGGACAACTGATGAGTTGAGATATCAAAAACGCTGAAGAAATTGCTATGATTCTCTGTCAGTCTTGGGGAATTCAGAAAACAGACTGCTTCTTATTGTCTGTCCCAACCTTTTTTCTCTCATCGCTCACTAACTCTCTCCAATCAAGGACTGACCTTTCTGACCTTTACCCTAGTAAAGGGTTCCAGTTTAAATATACAATCAAAACACATATCTAAGGATTTCCATCTGTCAGCTGAACCTCCCCACTGCACAATGCTTTGACAGAAGACCTGAAAGACATTCATCTCTGTTTGAGCTTGCATGAGCCTACAGTAGATATCCTCTTTCACCTTGCTGCTTACAGGTCACACTTTGAAGTGGGCAACAGGAGCCTTGGGTATACTGTAGCAGTCATCAGCATACAACAGTTCAAAGGACTTCACATATACCCTGCAAGAAGCTTATGACCACCTTACAAAATACTACTGTTAACATTTAAAGCCCTACATAATCTTGCCCTATCCTATCTCAGTGATCTTCTGCAGAACTACACTCCCTCCGCTCCTCTTCTGCAGGTTTACTTTCTGTCCCAGACATTAAACTCTGGGTAAAACCATGGGTGCTGGAGCTTTCCCCCACACTGCACCCAAACTTTGGAATTCTCATCCCTCTCATATCACGTCAACTGGACTCTATGATACAATTTAAAACCACCGTTAAAACTGAACTTTTTAAACTGGCATGCTCACTTCCATTCCATCTGTTTGAAAACTCACAACTTATTACTTTGCGATCTCTGATTTATTGCAGTTTTTATTAGTGTCATTGTGTTTGTTGATGTTTTTACTTTTGTGAGGTGACACTGAGTGTCTTGAAAGGTGCCTTTTAAATAAAATTAACTATTATTATATTCTTTGGGAAATTCAGGTATTTCTCACTGCATTCCACCATTGCCTTTCTATGGGAGATAACGATGAGCCAGTCAGCCAAGATTGTGGCAGGGATCTGATAATGATCTCTTGTGCCATTTGCACTGACCACCACACCCAAGTAGAGGTTCTGCCAGTATATCAGCCTTGCTGAGAAACCCATGAAGCCAGAGCATTCTCACCTGACCAGGTAAACAAGAGACTGGCAGATGTGAGAAGGCAGGTATCTCTACTGTGCCTTTCATTGTCTATAGGTACAAGTCATGTTAAAGAAATTGTACTTTATCCCCTTGAGTTACCTCAAGAACTTTTTATTACGCGATGTGTTCGGTTGCAGAGACGCAAGACTCACTTTTCATGGGCAACTGAGATTGAGTGACAATGGGGCCCTTTTTGTCTTTCCTTTTGTATGGCTGTTCATTCTATTGTGACTGGAACTGTTTCTCAGGACACTGAATTCTGAAGTCAGTGCCTGTAGTTCTTTATTCTGAGAATCCTCATGCTGATCAGCAAAACGAAGGCTTCTATCTCTCTTCCACACCGGTCCTATGATTGACTTGCTGCTAGGAACTATACCACCCATAGGCCACCCCTCCTCCTTATTTGAATCCAAAATGACAGCTATGGAGAAGTATATCAAAGCAGCCCCCACATCTGGGTTCACACACCCCCCAACTTCACTGCAGAAGCTGGTTTCTTTTTTGAGGAAAAGAAATATGGAGCACCATGACCTTCTATACTTAGTAAAATCGCAATTAATAATCGTTGTCTTTAGTCCCTGAGCTGCTGCAGAAGGCAACCATTTTTACCAAGTTTGACTTGTGAAATGCATATAAATTATTATGCATCAGATAGGTTCATAAGTGCAAAATAAGGCTGCCACTAACAACTATTTTTCTACTGATTAATCTATCGACTATTTTACCGATTGGTCGATTAATCAAAACAATTAATTTGTCTCCAGAAATTCAAATAGACAGTTTAATCTAAGTGAATTTTATTTTGACAACAAACTCTATGTCATTGAAGGCTTTAGATAATGGACGCCGGTTTTTCAGCACTATACAGACATTATTTTTGCCCACAATTCGATAAACAGATTAGTAGTGTGCCTAAAATATTATTGAGAAGCAAACTGTGATGCCCAAAAGTTAGTAATCTGTATAAATTCGTCATATCTTTATGCTTATTAAATTTGGTTAGTGGAACATGTGTAGATTTTGGTAAATTATGGAAGCGATAAGCACTGAAGTCGCCGTAAAGAAAGGGACAGCTCATCAACCACAACATCATTTGAAAGAGGAAATATTGTAGTTAAACTACGTAAAAAGACATTTGTGGCATGGTGGTACATTTTGCAGATTAAAGTCATATATAGTTAAATATAGTTTTCATTTTTATTTCAGTTCACAAATAATTTTTTTAATCTAGTGCCTGTTTTCCTTTCAGTTTTAGTTTAACATAACACTAGACCCAACAAGGCCGACGCGTACGAACACACATACTGGCATCATCCATCAGCGAAGAAGGCAGACAACTTTATGGCTTTAATAATGAGAATATTTAGCAGCTACATGGACAAAAGATATTTCGAAGTTCTCCATATTAATGGTAATTTAATAAACATGAACAGACAACATTTATGGTAGTTTCAGCTACTCTGGTGGTCCATCCTCCAGAATAGTGCCTGTGTGCTTTTGCTTTAGGTGCTTGTGCATAGTGTTAGTGCCGCCATGGCATGCCATCAAAACTTTGCACAATGTACAACTGAATTACTCCCATAATTACATAGTGATATTAAAGGAAAACATTTGTTACAAGCATTTTAGAAATTATTATTATATATTGTATTATTATATATTATATTTCCATTCAAATAAAAAAAAAAAAACACTGTGTCGGTGCACAATATTGAAGTCGGTGCATTTTCAGCATCGACGTCATCGACTTTGTCGACTAATCACAGCAGCCCTACTGGAAAACAGTCTTTGACAGGCATATTGACTAGTATGTGTACAGTACCTAGTGATACCCTTTGCTGTTGTCCACACCCCTGCATCATTTCAAGCGTTCGTAAATGACAAGCCCAGAGACATGTTCAATCAGTTTGTTTTTCTTCTTTCTTCAAACTCTCTGGAAGAACACCTCTAATTTGTCCCACAGGTACTTTTTGAGACGCTTCGAGTTTCTCAAGCTGGAGAAATGCAATCTCCATGCCTCCTGTGTTTCACGCCATGATTCCCTCTCTGGCATCACTATGGTCCCAGCCAAGGTGCAAGCCAATTACAATTGGCCACAGCCAGCCACCCAGAACCCGCTTTACTGGAATTCACCAACTTTAACGACAGGCCTATTCAGAACACCAGGTCAGTGGCAGCTCCTTCAGAGCTCTCACTCAAGGGTGAACCAAGTCCTCTGGACTTCACTGGCACAGACCAACATCCAGCACCTTAGAACTTCCATTTGTGCTTGAAGTGAATACTTGTGGATTATTATCATTAACCAAAACTGAAACTATGAGAAAACATTTTGGCAAACTGAAGTAAAATAAACAAACAAATTAAAAACCAAAAAAACTATTAAATGAAAACTATAAAAATTGCTTCTGAAACTAACTGAAAAAAAACAAAAGTCAAATACTTTTCGTTACTGTTTTCCATTTAATCATTTTCACCTAAAGTAATGATTTGTTTATCTTAATTGCCATTAATAAAGCCCGGAACATGTTTTGCCCATTTTGAGGACATTATTACATAATGCACGCTGTGCATTCAGGTAGAATTTTCAAAGGATCAGACAC